CACCATTCAAAGACATTTGCCTTTAAATAGACAGTAATAAAATCTGGACACGTGATAGGCCACCCCCAGCCCACTGATCAAGCACAGATATGTCCTGTGACACGGCCCACTCTTGAGCAACGCAGGCTTTTTATATCATACACAGGCTGCTGGGCTCCTTAAGTGTTGGCAGTCCAATGCACGGCGACATTTTGCTGAGTTAATATTTACAGTACTGCTCAGAGTGTATGTTTGAACAACCTGGCAGAATTTGTTTCATGTACATTGTTCCTTATGGAAATAAGTAACAATTATGTACTCAGGTGCTGTCAGAGTGTTTTAGGTTTATGTTGTAGGATCCTGGGTTTGGGATATTGCTGTAATTCAAAGTTGACGTCACTTAAGGATTATTTTATATTTTAAAAGACTCAAATGGTTCTCATTTAATTATTGTCCTAGTTCATTAATGCAGAATATCAGTATTCGCTAAATCTCATGACAACACACTTATATGTCGTGACTTTGTGCCAACAAACTAACACATACAATTTACTGTTGCAGCAGAGAAAAAAACAGAACATAGAAAATAAAGAGCATTAAATCATTACACTTGCTCATGTTAGATGAAAAAAACATGCTAAATTGAATGCTACTGTATTTAAAATACAGCTATAATTTATTTTAAAGCCTCTGATAAATGCTTGTGTTTTATCTCTAAAACTTCAACTACAGCAAGGCCATTTTATTTAAGAAGAATTCCAAACTTCAACTTTCACGCAATACTTTTTTGTGTTTAATTTGTCACACTGTTTAATCATGACAATGATCCTCATCTCTTAGGTTTAAAAACAAAAACTTTGAATACTTCACAAACAGCATTAGTTTTGATAATGCAATCCTTATCTGGTTATTCAAGTTAGAGTTTTGCTCTAAAACCAACTCCCTTTGACAACTGTTTTGTTTTCTAAAGTTGACAGCATTCATACACTAACTCAACAGATTTAATATATCCCTATCTATGTAGGGTTAATTAAAGGGATAATTCTACCTTTAAGGAAAACTGCACTTGGCTCACAGCCTGAACTTTTGGGGCGGGGTGCAACAGATTGCTACTGTGTATTACATCCACCTTCTCCACTCACTGAAATACTCGCCCTGATGTGGCCAGCCACCCACAGTCTCACAGCAGCAGCCTGCATGTGTTGGCTGACTCCACTACCTGGATCAGAGCCAAGCACATCCTGAGCCAAGTGCCAAGAGGGAAAGAAAATGAGCGAGAGAGAGAGCGAGAGACACACAGCATGTGTGAGTAAAGGAAGAGTGCTAGTGAGCATGAAAACATTGCGTCTTAGCTTGGCTCTTTGCCAGGATCCACTTACGAGAATGTTTAGTCACAAAAGACAATCTGCGGTCAAACCTCAAAAGAGATTTTCAAGTGACTAACTGTAGGAGAGATTTGTCCTATATTTGAGATTAAGGTAATAGCTCTCAGCAGGACATGGGACTCACAAATACAACCAATGTTTAAAGAAAAAGTCTCCAGCTCTCTGAGCAATTGGCTGACAACAGTTGGCTGTTTATGTACAAAAAAATAAGGTAAAAAAACCCAGAAGCACTGACATATAGTCTGTATGATAAATAAGAATTAAGTCTGAAACGTTGTTCAGATAAATATTTTTTTCTTCAATAAACTAGGACATTTTATAAGGCAGTAGAATTGATAAAAAACAGAAACTGGTGTAAAACAGAGAGAGGTGGACAGGGATCTTACCTGTCTGAAGTGGTCTTCAAATCCCCAGTCAGCTTGGCTGACGGGTGAGGTGGCAGAATGAGGCCCAGCCGGAGACAGGCCCTCGTCAGGTTCCTGCTTCACTCGGATTGGTGGTGACGCAGCCCTCTGGGGGGCCGAAGCTGAGTAACTGCCAAATGGCCGGGCCGGGATACGAGAAGCGTTTTGCTGCAGTGCCAGGGTCTGCTTGCGAAGAAACTCCAGACCACTGGCACTCCCTTCATCCTCATCACTGCCTTCATCTCCCTCCATCATCTCAGTGTCATCATCCTCATCACCAGAATCCCTGCCTCTGTCCTCATCATCCTCTCTTTCTGAGTCTACACTGCTCTGATTGGACACCCGTGGCGGCAGCCCAGCTCCCGGGACGACCCCAGCGAGACTTTTGCCCATGAAGCTGGCTCCAGAGGCCCGTGCAGCCGCAAGGATGGCCTGCTGAGCGGCCACCTGCTGAGCGTACATGATGTGGGCCTCCCGTAGTTTTCTTTCCTTGCGCTCCATTTCCAGTCGGGCCTGCTGCTGACGCTGGAGTTGCTCCATCACTGCCTCCAGCTTCATTCCCCCTGTCGAGGTACTCTGAGGAAACGCCACACCAGGCTCTTGAGACATGCTGGGCTGTAGGACACAGATCCAGAATCAGGGTTGACCTACCACACACTGAAACCATATTACTGCTTAATCCCATTATGGAGAATCAAATAATCCACACGTGTCACCTTCCTCCCAACAAATAAAGCCTCTGTAATAATTTACTCAAAAATAAGATGGATTTTAGGTTTCCACCTGAGGGAAATAAATCCAAACTATGATTAGTATGAATTAACTAACTACTATTGTTAGTGGTGTTATGACTATAAAGTTTGAAAATTGTAAAACGTCAATTACTGAGCAGCTGTGTGAAATAAAATAATTTAAAAAAAACACTGGCCTGGTCTGGCATTAAAAAGACAACAACACTACAGGAATCAAAAATTGCAAAATGATCAGTTTAATCAGTAAACAGGAGAAAATTAATTACTGCAGCGGTGTGTTTGTAGCAAAACTACCAATTACTATCACACATATTGACGGCGTCGCCCACAACCCGGACTGATAAATAATCTTTCCTCTAATGCAACTGTGATTTTTTTTTTTTTAATTAAAAGGCAAAAACTTAACCTCTTAACAAAACCAAAGTGTTGACTCGTGGAATTAAAGAGAGAATAACTCCGACACAATATCCATTCAAGTGTTGCAAAAAAAAAAAAAAAAAAAATCTCAGCTCTAAGGTGGAGTGAATCATGCTCCTGTTCCGCATTTGGCTGAATGCCACATCCTCAAACTACGTGGATGACGAATGGCTGATTAGACTTACGCGCACGCCACTGTGCAGAGAAGCAAAAAAAAAAAAAACAGGACATAATATTTACGCAATGTACCATAACAGAAAGACAGCGTCAAAAAAAGTTGGACAAAAGTCCTACCGTTAGGGTTAGATTTGACCTCCGCCGTTTTTTCTGCTCCTGTTCGTTCAGTAAATGTTAACGCCGTTTTTTCTGCTCCTGTTCGTTCAAATGTTAAGTTGACTAACTGTTGTGAAAACAGCCTTTTCCAGCAGCTTTTTTAAATTAAAAAAAAAACCTAATAAATTATTTGTTTAAAATAACTACTGCTAAGCGGAGCGACACACAGGAGCGACACTCACCATTTGTGCCTTACTGCCGTTGGAGTTGTCCACCATCCCTCCTTCTTGGCTTTATCCTCCTTCCCTCGTTTCTGACGCTCACTCCGACACTTTGTAAACACACACACATACACAAACACGCGCCACGTGTGCGCGCAGAACGGAAAGAGAGCTCGAGCGCGAACGCGCACAATATTCCAGTTGCCGTGAGAGCGTGAATGTGCAGGGAATTCCAACTGCTTACGCGAGCCTAAATTCGTAGGGTTTCTTATCGGTCCTTTCCCCCTTTGACTGTGTGGTTCTTATTCTTTAACAGTAAACGTCAAACTAAAAAATGACCCGCTCTCATAGCTCTCGGCTAGCGCTGAGGTAACTCCCTTCTTCTGTCGGTTTTTTTCTCTCTCTCTCTCTCTCTCTCTCTTCCTCCCCCTTCAATGACACCCCCCGCACGGTGAGCAGCAGCGGTGGTTCCGCCCCTTCTCAGCAACAAGTCTCACCCCCTGCACTTCCACCACCACCACAGCAGTGTCACCTGTGCAGTCCATCACTAGCCTTCACTCACACACATACGCTTTACATAGGCTCCGTGGTTATGGTCTCGGTGTAAAGGTGAAAGTCGGTGCCATTAAAAACTCTTAAACAAGTCCACAAATACTCTTTATACTTCGACGAATGTAAATATCAGTTATAACTGTCATGCAGCCTTACATCTAAGTAAACTGTATTTTAACCCTCTATTCAGCCTTACATCTAAGTAAACTGTATTGTTTATACCGACTTTTAACCCTCTATTTTCTTCATATTTATTGTGTTTGTTTATTATATCAATGTTACAGTCTAATTTTCTTTTCCGATGCATTTCAAACTCTTTACACCACTTATCACCCGGGATAAATATGTGGCTCTGTATGTAGGGTTACCGATAGATGACCAACAAAAATAAACATCAGAACAGGCCCACAATGTTAATGATATTATTAGAATATTAGCCGTTATTATCATTAGCTTTAAAAAACTTTTTCACATGTCCCTCCATCCACTGAAGTATTTTTTACGTTCTCTGTTTACGTCTTATACAGTATGTTTTTCTTATTTTCTATATAATAATTTACGTGCTTTCATATTCCATTTTATGTATTTTCATTTCCATGTCTGTATATTGCATTGTAATACTTAAATCTCTTCTTAAAATCTTATAAACACAAAATTGCCCTGCCGTTTTCAAAAGGGAAATGACGTATTGTGGGACGTGCACTACAGTTCGATGCTGCCCCCTTGTGGTGCCAACTGTTTTGTTTTAATTATGATGTACACATTTATTTTAACTGAGGGTAGGGGTACCATCATTAATAAGCGTTACATTCTTAATACGTATATGAAGGATTAAAATCATGACATAAATGTATATAAATGTGTTTTATTTAATAGTTTAAAATAAAACAGCGCACAATGAAATAAAAAGTGTTAGTGTAAACCAATACAAAAAAACAAAAAAACATTTATTGCATTTCACTCAAAAGCATGGTGATTGATAACATGCAGGATTGTCCCTATAGTTGCATAGTACAGGTGATTTGAATGTACTTGCTACTGATCCTGGTGGGAGTGGTATAGACCTCTACATGAAAACATCAAGTGGTTCACGGGTCAGGGGTTGGTCCAACTTACATGTAAGCATTTTAGTCACATTTGTAATCGGTGACTTGCACTTGGTGCTTTACATAGATCAGCTCACACTCAGCTGATGGGGGTGGGAATCTTAAGTAGGTTAGTAAGTACTTAGGTGCTCCAATTATTGAGTTTTTAAAGCTTATCCCGAGTTGGTGGATTTATGAAATGATAGAAACACTTGGCAAGTACTTAACAGGCTTGTACTTGTTGAGCAAATATTGTTGTATATTTTCAGTCCTCTGGTTAACACTTGGTCTTTACTCTCACCAGTTCTTTTGATGCTTTATAAATTAATTTTGACTGTGGTATTGCTCCAATACACAGTAACATTTATTCTGGTTGTGTTATTTATTTTTACATATTTGTCAAAAGAAAAGGTGTTTTCCAGCCACGCAGCCACACTAGATAAAAAAAAAATTAAACACAATGATACTCAATGCATGAATTGAAAGAAAATCATTGTTAATAGCAAAAATATGACGTAGGCTGTAAAAACTAAACATAATACAGAGTAAAACTTTCTGTCTGTCATAGAAAGAAAGACACAACAGTGAATATGATCTTTCGCAATATAGAAATATAGCCAAGCAGTGTACACATGTCTATATTGTCATCCTTAGGAGCCACTGTAGTGTCAAACAGGTAATAAATAAATGAAATGCATTAATGTAACTCTGCCAACATCTACACACCTGAAGGCCTGTATTTGGTCTTGCTGTAACATTTTTAACAAAACAAAAGTGGACAAAAGCAGTATTTAACAAAAAAAAAACCAAATCAATTACAAATTGTAATATCCATCTTTAAGCCTGCGTTGTTATAATAAGGAATGCTCTTGAATGTGTGGCTATATATATGTTTTATATGTATGTGTGTGTTTTTTATTTAATGCCTTTCCTCTTTAAGAAAGAGTTGCAACATGTCTCCTGGACTCAAGCTATGACAGAAAATCACACATCAGTTGAGTGACCAGTGAGGTCCTTCAGTAACTTGTTTGCTTATATTTTGCATTATATATATATTGTAGTTTTCTGTTAGTTTGTTATCACGTTTTTTATATTGTGTTGCAAATACAGAGCAGTCAGAGTATTGCACAACATGTGTGTTTGAATCAATAATTTTAAGAAGGTGAATAATTAGTTGAAAATGTATTTTTATCAGTAGCGTTTTGTATCAATTACTATACTTTTCAGTCGAGCCCATTTGAATTCCAGGCAACCTCACATAGGGTCATGACCCCAAGGTTGATAAACACTGCACTAGAGGTTATTGGGTTCTGTGACTACCAGCAGGTAACAGGCAATCACCTTTAATTGCCTTGTGTCACAGATTAGTATGACCACAGCACATGCCTAAACATTAACCATCATATATGAGGCATACAGATAATTCATTCATCCATTCGTCTTCTACAGTTTTGAGGCGATCCCAGCTGTCAACAGACGAGGGCGCTGTACACCCTGGACAGTTCGCCAGTTCATCGCAAGAACTCATGTACTGTAGAGACAAGCAACCATTCATACTGATGTTATTACCCTGGGTCAGTTTTGGTCTGGTTAATCTAATCCTGCACCTTTTTAGAGGGAGTCTAGGAAGAAACCATAGTCCCTGGAAAAAAGCTTCTATTTAAATGGTGTTTTCTTTGGGTTTTTAACTGTTGTACATTGTTAATATTATTATCCATAATAACTATAATGAAACAACAGAGAACGCCCAGTTAATGTTAATAAATGTACGTAAATATGTATAAAAAAAAATCACAAAATCAATTATGGAATGACAATACACTAAAATGTAACCAGCTATCCACTGAGGATTCATCCAAAAAAAGACTTACACCATCAGTCAGTGTCAAGACTGTGTAAGTTCGTCTTTTAGTTTCATAAGAAGAAAAGTAGAAAATAAGTCAAGCTTTGTGATCACAGTGGATAAGGCCCGTCCTTACGTGTACATCCGTCTGCTCTTGTCCTCCGGGCAGATCTTTCTCCATGCAGTGCTCTAGTGATTACGACTCCGGCCTCACGGCCAACGGTCCTCAAGCTGACCAGCAGTGAAGCTGGTCCAGGAAAAAGGCGGCCATGTACCTGTGATCCCATCTAGCAATACAATCCAGAGCCCAGCCTTTGGTTCCAGATGACTGAGGAGATCAGCAGAATCACTGCATGGAACAGGAAGAGCCCTCAGAGAAGCAGCAGCACACGGTGGAGCCCATGGCTTTGGGAGGTATGAGGTCCAGGTCCTCATCGTCAGGGATCTCATCCAGACGGTAGCCATCCTGGAGCAGCTGTTTGCTTAAATCAGGATGGACCTGCAAGGTAAAACGTGAAGCAACACAAATGACCTCTAGTTTAATAATGACAACATCTGGTAAACACTCGGCTAAAAAGTTTTACTCACCTCTGCTGAAGAGTATCCTGAAGAATACTGCTCAAAATCGATCTCTTCATCACTACAGAGACAGAGAGGTTAATCATGTTTGTGTCAAATGCATTGGTCAAAGACACTGAAGAGGAGAAAATGACAAAATGCTGTGATTTCCAAAATTATAATCTGCAATTTCTCCTATTCTGCTCCTTTCTCCCCCGTCTACTGTCTCATCCATTCCGTCCTCTTTATGTTGAAATGACTCGTACACATACTGTACAAAAACACAGATGATTTTAAGAAGAAATGTTTATCATCGAACTTCATGGAATTACAAATAACTGCAGAGTGCATCTGCTTCCTCTTCCTTCCTGGAACAGTGATGAGAGGTATTACGCAACTAACGAGTAAGAACCTGTATTTACTCTTAAGAGGCCGATGTGATTTGTACCCAGATACAATGGGCTGGCACAGAGGAATTTGACTTCAGTTTGAGTTCTACCAGCATCACACTGTAAAGTTGCAGTTGAAGCGTCTCCATCCTGCCTCTGATTTATAGTGTTGTGTGTGTGAGGAAGAAGCTTCTCAAAGCTGAACTTATACTGTTGGTACTGCTTATCATGTTGAGGTTGATAGTCGCACCCTGCTGGTACAAATGGTCATGACATTCCCATAGCCTTACCTGTCTGAGTCCAGTGCAACCAAAGTCTCATCAGCATGTTGACTCAGGGCAGTGTAGCCCTTATTATACTTCACCAACCTAAAAACAGAACAATAATATAAGTATTGACACTGAGAGACCTCTCTGTACATTATGCTGACATAACAAAAGCCTCTTCCTCTCGTCTTATCAGTGCTCACCTCTTCGCTCCTTGTCTGGGCTGATGAGTCACTGTAGGCCCTGGTGAGAGAGCTTTCTTCTTCAGGGCCTTTCTTGCCATCTCTCTGTGTTTCTCTATTTAAAAAAATAAGTTTTGTGCTGAGATTTATTTATAAAACAAACAAAAAACACATCGGAAATCGTAAAAAAAAAAAAATACATGACAATAAATCTTACGTAGTTTCAGGTGAATGGCTGGAGCTCTAGACATGATGTAAGGACCCCTCTTTTCTATGGACCTAATGCCTCCATCTGTGCTCTTAGGTCTAGCACCACTGCTGGGGCCCTTGAATAGAAATTCAAAGTTTTAGGACTGCATGCTTTAGTGTCTAGGCAGCATGTTAAAGGAATTAAGGATTTGATTTTGACAATTTTTTGGTTCCTGAGATAAATCTCAACTGCATCGTTCTCTACATTTATAAATTCTACTCTTGAGTGTTTTAACGTTCGAAAAGAGTCCAGCATGGACATCGAACATCTTCAACTCGTTCTCTACATTTATAAATTCTACTCGAGTGTTTTAACGTTCGAAAAGAGCATGACATCGAACATCTTCAAGCAGCTCCAGCTCATCCTTCTTTCCCTCAGACAACGTTTCTGTCACCAACCACACATCAAAACATGTCAAGTGTTGTTGAGGTTTATTTTAATCCAACGACTCATCTTCTGTCAACCATCCCCTCTGACAGACAGGTTAAATAGATAAAGACAATGCATCGATTTCACAACAGCAAACGGTGGGTTTTGAATTTAACATAAGAAATGACAGCATGTAATGCCAACTTTGGGAAACAATAGACCGGTATTTATTTATTTTCTTTTTTTATATTGTAGCTGTTCATTCTATACGAGAGTAACTGCACTGTCAACAGGAAATTGTCAAATCTTCCTTGTTTTTGAGACAGCCTCATCAGAGAACAGTAATTCTTACCTAAGTGTGTGAAGGCTTTTTATTAACAATTATTAAAATACAATGATATTACTAAGCGCATAAAGCGTGAGTAACAACAACAATGGTGCCAGTAGTTCCATGTATATAGAGCTATGAGCTAACCGCCTAGTTAGCACTACCGGCTAATCAACACTGTCAGACTTACTGACGGAGTCCGCTTCTCCGGCTGGGCCTCCAGCAGTGAGTCCTTCTCTGGTTCTTCTAGGATGTCGTTCATCATCTTTGTGTCTGCTGTCACAATAAACACCAGAATGCAGCCATGATGACAGCTGTCCCACAGGAAAATGGGACTCTTCCCTGACTCTTCGTTAGTTCTGCTTTTGCTCCTCTTTCAAAATGGGACTCTTCCCTGACTCTTCGTCAGTTCTGCTTTTGCTCCTCTTTGTTTTTCTTCTTCTTTGACAGACTTGAATGGTGGACAAGGACCTTTGGCGCCATCGGCTGGCCTGATTCTGCAAGCATCCCAACAATAGTTACAAGAGTGACCACACTACTGTTACTGACCATTAATTCTTACAGTTGAAAGCCTTTGCCTTTTATGTGCGCACCTGTATATATACATATGTACCGTAAATATACAGTGTACTTTAACAACACACAGATTTAATTTAATTATGTCAGAAAATATTAAATTTATGAATTCTACCTGGGATGAGAGAAGAGAAAACCAACAGACATTCTCCAGTTATTGCTTTTCTTTATTAGGTCCATCATTTGCACAGAAACAGGACTGAATGGATTTAAACAATATAGACATTTTGGACAGAAGAGGAACAAATAAGGACAAATGAGGATGGTTTCTCTGTTTATAGATCAGCCAACCTGTGGAGAGGAAATAAATACAGATCAGTTTAAATGCAGGGACAGACAGTCTAGTATTTTATGTGTTTATTGTTAATATGTATGTATTTTAACATCAGGCCAGGTCATTGATAGATGGTGGTAATATAAAAACTAAAACTCACCTTAACATTTATACCCTGTCGATGCCGAGCTCTTCTGGGGTTGAGATGCCCAGTTCTGTTAAAGTGGGCTTTAGCTCTTGGATTAGGTATGGATAGATTTCCTTGTATGGTCCAGCTTTTTGCTGCAAATTACACAAAAATATAACTATAGAGCACTAGCTATTTAAATGGTTATGGCTAGGGATGTCTGATATTACCTTTTTGCTGATATCCAATATGCCGATATTGTCCAAACACTTAATTTCCAATATCAACCAATACCGATATATCAGGGCAGTGCTGGCCTGGTGGTTAAGTGCTGCCTGCTCACTAAAGTGATGGGTTTAAGCAGTGTTTTGCAATTATTTTCTGCCATGCCCCCCTTAGCAGACGATTTCTTTCACACAGCTGATATTATCAGACATCCCTAGTCTTGGCTGATGGTATAGTAACTCACCTTGACAGCCTCAAGAATGCGGACGGCACTGGCCAGGTCATTTAGTCTACGGCAAGCTCTCAGTGCTGATTCCACAATCTTGGGCTCAGGTACCAGATCATACCCAATCAGAGTGTTCATTCCTTCAGAAAAGATTCGTGGAAAGTTATCGACTACTTCCCACTGGCAGAGGTTAAAAAAAAATCCTTGAACTTTGAAAAATATATCAAAGTGAGAATACACCTTTCTTTAATTCCCAAACATCAATGTCTGGCTTGTTGAAGTAAGTGACCCAGCGAGCATCAAACTCCTCGTCAGTCTCTACCTTTTCATGGGAGAAACATCTAGATACCAATGGAGCTATGAAACAAACAAATAAAAAATGAATCAGTTGTCAAAACCACTGCACTGGATAGCAACCAACATTTGCTTCTCTATAATTAGAAAGGCTAAATTAAAGAGTGAAATGTACATTTTACACTGTGTAGAATTCAAAGAAAATCACCGTATATAAATTACTGTCAAAATCGTGGCAAACATATCTTAAAGAGTGAAATGTACATTTTACACTAGGTAGAATTCAAAGAAAAGCACTATCAAAATGGCAAAATCTTGGCAAACATAACAGTGTGTGGACAAGGGAATTTGTTTTTAAAGATCTTAAAGATACAGCTGTACATCAAAATGGTTATAACTTCAGGAACAGCCTTCTATCAGGGTATTTGATGGTATTCTGTTCAAGGAAATGAAGCAGACATAAGGAAAACATGACTGATCACGTTCACTGGTGTGATGAGCAAAACACCACATATTCCACTGACTGCCCTCCATCTCCTTTCAAGTAGGTTACATTCCGAGTCATAAACGTCGACTCACGTCAAGATTCTATTACTAAATGCGTAGAAAATGCGCTTTATGACGCTCGTGAATTAAATGTAAGAGGGTCATAACAAGGTCACGACTTTATCGTTTGAATTTCTAGCCTCTCGAGAGAAAATAACATCGAAATGATGCAGAATTTAGTTTTCACTATAGGTGGATAGAAAGGGAAAACGTTACAAAGTCACTCTGCGTCTGCTTTCATTCAGAGTAACCGTAATCACACCGCAGTGGCTAAGTTTAGCATTCAAATGGGTTAGCTTTATTTAGACACACTTTGCAAAGACCAGGGTAAAAATAATTCGTTTAGGTTAATCAGAAATTGTACCCGAGTAGCGGGGTCGTGAACGGACCAGACCCCGACTCCCTGCGGATGACAGGCGGCACACCGCTCTGAACATGATGCCGTAGCAGATGCTAACGCTAGGAGACCCAACTGTTAGAGGACACTGTCTTCTTCTGCGGATAACAAGCGCAGCCGACAACAGTAACACTGCATTACCGCCACCTGCGGGTGGTGAAAATTCCAAGCATCTATTTTACACATTGAGGGCGATAATTACAGCATTTACTGTATATTACTTACTTAGCCATACTATCAAATTAGTTTCAAACATCGCTGTCCTAAATATTGGAGAAATATGTAACGTTTAAGTCATTACTATTATATTCAAAATGCAATATGATTTAGCAAAGAACGTATAAAACGAAATGTGTATATTTATAGGGGGGAAAATCGCTCTTACAGGAACCGTGTAGAGAAATGTGGCTGACGGAGAAGAGCTGGGATTAAAGACACGTTCGTTTCTTCCCATTACTTTTCGTGTAAATACAAAGATTGTTAAATCTTTGTTCTGTTTTTGCTCTTCGTGACGTCAATAATCAGTTTCCTAGCCAACGTCTAGTTCGGACTGCTCGACAGTAACCAAGTCCGTTGCCGGTTACCAGGCTTTACTGGCAGACTGATACGGTCAACATTTTCATTAGAATTAAGTTTTCATACAACGGAACTTGTATGTGAACATTTAACGTAAATGCCATATACACGTATACGGTGACTAAAATCGCTTTTAACGTGCAAAGTCTATTTTTACTTGTTTAATTCGGACGCATTACGTACCTCTGTGAACTGGTTGAAAAAGTTTTTTTTATTATTATTATTGAGCTCTTAGCACTCTACCACTTTCCCTTTTTTGGAACCAGTTGTTGTACACACTCAATAAACACGAGTACACACTGTTCCACGTCATGGGTTTTTTTCTTTCTTCTACGTTACGTTAATCCAGAACGTGTGCTGTGATTGGTCATTCCAGATTTATTTCAGGCCATGAAAGAGTCGGTGTGGCTATGGTCTAAACCAACAACCGTGAACAGAAATATCTATGTACCAGCCACTCTTCTCTTTCAGTCAACACGTGGAGCTTCTAAAAAAATCAGGGGAAACCAGATGATAAATCAACAAACTGGGGTCAAACATGGACCTTTTGCAGTTGATTGAGGATTTAGATCATGTCAACAACAATGACCTAGACTCTTACCCGCTGTCAATGACTAGCATAGGTGATGCTCTACTTGACATGGCTGAGAGTGGAGGCCAGTTCCAGCCACAGCCTCCACAGGCACTTCTGAGAGAATCAAGTCTCCCTGAATCTGTCCTTGTAAAGAACCCTTATCATGAAGAACCAGATGCTCTGCAGGGACAACTGAAAGAGACATGTTCTGAGTGGGAAGACCAAAATTCAGACTCTTTACAAGAGATCCTGGAGGTCCTGCAGCAGCTGACAGACAATAATCCAACTGCAGATGTTGAGGAGAATGACCCCCACAAGGCATCGTGTATCCAGAAAATACTGGAGCAGATGCTGGCCGGAGCAGAGCACCTGCTGCCTGCACCCGCACAGCCACAGCTACAGATCCCCTTTGCTCCCCCTTCCCATCTAACTCCCCCCCTGCACATTGCAGAGACAAAATACTCGCATGTCCCTTCTGTCCCCATGTTCAGCGACCAAGACCAGAACATGACTGAACACACAGGACATGTGGCAGACATTTTGCTGAAGAACTGGGTTCCTGATGTAGAAATCAAAAACAGACCAAGTGTGTCATGTGATGGTCCTTTAGGGGACTTCACTAGAGCCCTTGAATCCTCCGTTCTCTCTTTGAACGGCCACACGACCAAAAAAAGGTTGCGTTCCAACCAGACAAAAGCGGAGAAACCGTACATAAAGAAGCCACCAAACGCCTTCATGGTGTACAGGCAGGAGCAGAGGGCAAAGATCACAGCAGAGTTTAATATCAGTGACAGTGCACTGGTGAACACAGAGCTCGGGCTGAGGTGGAAGTGTATGTCTAAGCAGGACAAACTGAAATATTTCCAGGAAGCAGACAGGCTGAAGTGTCTGCACGCCCAGCAGAATCCTGACTGGTCCAGCAGTGACAACTATGGGAAAAAGAAGAAGAGGATCAAGAGGAACTATTAAACCGTAACCAACGCTTGAGCAGCTCTGTAACTATGCACTCAACTGTTAATAAGCGACCGTTACCGAATGATTGTTTTTATCCTTAAAGTATTTCAATATAGAATCAATGACATTTTGTATGGTTTCTTACCACTATGATATTATTATTATTAAAAAAAAATCAAATTTAACAGACATCTTTTCAGATGAACGCTAACTTATAAATAAATTAGAAGCTAAGCTAATGCGTGATATGAAGAGACTCGTTCCAACCCAGTGAGAAATATGATAACGTTTACTTTTGTAAACAGTCAACTGATTTATGTATGGACTCGTTTAAAACCTGCAAGTGTTTGAAAACATGAAACTGTGTGAAACACATCTATCTGGTAATAGTTGACATTAAATCCTTTGTAGCTTATAATACGTGCAACATTTTGGATTTCAACTGCCGTAAACGTTTCTGCCATTTTCTGTAAACAGCACAAATGAAATCAAATCGTTAAATGAGACGTTCAAGTTCACTGGATATAAACGAACAATATAAACGTCTGTAAACAATTTAAGACTCAAAATAAGAAGAAAAAATATGTTCAAAATGTTTAAATTATGTTCCTCAACAAATAACAATTTTTAAGTGATTAATATTTACGCGTAATCACGATGACGTCTGTACCGACAATGTGATCAATATATGTATGTTTACCAGCCAGTGTTATGAAGATTTTGTCAATCGACTTGTAATAAAACATGAAGAAATAAAGTGTAAACTGGCATCGACGGCTCTAACGGTTTGATGACGTCAAGTTCCGGCAGAAATGCTTAAAATTATAACATCCGGTACAATGAACAATAGTAGGAGCATTGTTTACATTCTTCTCAGTTCACACATTATATTTATTGTTATTGTCTATTATTTTTAATCCTTTTCTTAAATCAGTTAATTTTTGACATATATACGTATATATAGACGTATATATAAATCCTTTTCTTAAATCAGTTAATTTTTTGACATGTATATATGGTCTGTCTTTCACAGACATATAGAGAAAACACAGGAACAGTTCGAGAAGTCAACAGCAGAGGGCGCTCCTAAACTAAAAATGCTCAAACACAATAGGACCGTTTCTTTGTTCTTTCGTCCATTTACATGGAATAATTAATTCACATTTTGATTTAAACTTTGTACTTAGAAAAGAAAAAATAATTTTATATTAAAACTGGATCTCTGTGTTTGACAAACTAAAATTAAATCTAGATAGCAGTGAATGAGGACGGTTGTCTATCGTATCTGCTTTATTGTGTCTTTTTCAAAAACACAGGAGCTGCCATGTGGGTGTGAAGGAGGTTTAGTCTTTGGTTGTTTCCGTAGGTTCAACTGTGTTTGTATTCGTGTGTGTGAGTGAGTGTGTTCCTCCTCGTGACATGTTAAACTCTAATCCCCTCTAAGCCCTGGGAACTACAGTAGATGTCCATTAGAGTAATATGCTGCTGACCCTGCCTGCCTTTCCCCGCTCATCCTGAACACTGGCTCCACGTTGAGGTTGATCATTCAAAGAGGCCGGAGACACTAATCACATTGTTATTATTATTATTATTACCTTTTTTTGGTTGTTATAATAGAGATTTTATTAATTATTCCCTGACTGAAAAAAAAAAATAGTTTCTATACATGGTCGTCTGTTCACATGAATCTTTATCCTAAACATTCACACGTCATCATGTACAGAAGAGTGGGAAAACACGTGACTAATTTCTGCTGTGAGTGAATTTCCAAACACCAGTTCTCATGTTTATAATGGTTTTATTGGCATTTTTCAAAGTCTTATATTACAACGATGATCACAGTCCTGATGTTGAAGACGTGGAACAAAAACTGTGGCACTATTGCAGATAAATATGGGCTCCTCCTGTGTGGCCTACATATGTAGCATGCAGTTGCTATGTTGGGATATTTTAGTACTGAATAGATGAAGTGATTATGTGACTGTACATGCAAAACACGCTTCAAGCTCTACTTGATGTTTCTGTGTTCTCAGCACGGCTGACGCAGTGAGATCTGGTGTGTAAAATTCTCCCGAACCTTTTATGATTTCCAACGCTGATGACCTTTGACCTCATTTATAGCTCAGTTTCCATTAGACACCGGTTACGACGACAACCTCTACCAGGATACCAACAATTCAGGACGTTATTAAAAATTCCTCTCTCAACCTTTTATTTTTACACACATACACGAAGCCAAGTGATAAGAATGTCCTGGTCAGAACGTGTGACTGAGAGCAATTAAAAATCCAACCCTGGCTTTTGAATGTTATCTTTAGCTCCCTGAGCAAAATACACACTATACAATACAATCTACGGCATCACATCATGTTAATACTGCTCTGTCATCGGGGGGGCTGAAACGCGGCCTTCACTAACAGTCACAACAGTCAAGTTCATGTCGTCCTCTCTTACCTAACCTTCACTCCTGCTTCAGATATCGGTGTTCTAACAGTCGCCTTGGTTTAAGAACTGTGCAGTTGGTGTGGAATGTTCACTGTTTGACTGAGCTGTATCCTGTAGCATCACTGAACTGATTAACTGATGAATATACAGAGTGTCTCCTACGTGGGCGACACCAGAATAATGACACAAAGGAAGGGAGTCGAACATTTAGATTATATTTCACGCTGCCCTTTAAAAAAAAATTGGTCTCCGTTAAAATGTTGGGTGAGGGGAAGAGCTTTTTGTGCCACTCATCTAGTGGTCAACAAAACGAAAACGGCACAGACACTGACTGAAGGGGGGGGGCGGAGGGTAAAGCTGGCCAGGAGTGAGTAGGAATGCAGTAGTTGAGAAGTATGATATGTGTACATGTGCAAACGTCTACTAATACCACAATAACAGCGAGATGAGGCAGCGCCTGCAGTTGAGCCAAGGACGCGTGCGCTGCTGGAGTGCGGGACTGGACTGGGGTCGGTTTTTTTGGTGAGTGTGTGTGTTGATTTTCAGGTGTGTGGGTGGATGAACACGGTGGTGAGAGCACTTGTTGCCGCAGTTTAGCCACTGCCCAACATCTTTGTAGCACGCTGGTTGGCTTCATCGATCCTGGTCTTGTTGGAATCGGCCTGAAAATGGGAATTAATGTCGTTAAGTCAGCGTGAAACCAAGACCGATGACTGTATGTAGAAAAAGTCGATAAATGTCGTTAGAAATCAAACTCTGATCTTTGCAGTTACAGTATTATTAACAATTATTAATCACAATTAATCATTTACTTAATCATGATTAGTCGTAATTGATATGATCAGAAACTGTAATGCCCAAAAGTGAATGTATCTTTTCACAAAAAGTACTCTCCAACTATAGTAACACTGGAGTTTTTCCGGTACCTTCTCCATGATCCTGTCAATCTGGCGATTCTGGGTGTCAATTTCCTGGCCCATGTCCAAGGCCATGTGGCGCAAATTTCCGATGATGCCGCCCACCTGCTCCAGGTTCTCATCCATCTCATTCTCTCGTGCATCATCCGTCACCCTGGAGCGGAGCAGGAAGAATCGGGGGGGCTAGTTACTGACCGGAGACTATTACAGCTGCGCTACCACCTACTGGTTAGCAACAAAAAACTGTACAAGAGACACGACTGAAACAATGTTGTGTTAAAGATCTCACAGCGCGGTCTGTTTTTGGACATTTATGGATGGAACCAGACTGGACTGAAACTGCTGAAGGTTCAGCACCATGGACAGCACAACTGATGCCCATGTGAAACTGAGTGAAAACACTTTGAATTACACTGTGGAGAATGGGTTCGACGTCCACTTCCACATCCCATCAATCACTACATTTTATTGAATTAAAAACATTGTTGCTTTTGTGAAAAATATTTTATTATTTCAAAGTTAATATCTGGAAGAAAAAACACTCACACATACAAAAGGTTATACATTTATAGCACAATTCTACTAGTATTGTAAATTAAAATATACCGCTGACATATTTTCTAATATATACACACACACACATACATATATGAGGGGTAATGACTGGAATTTTATTTTGAAAATCTGCATGGACACTCAGTCTCAGTCTCATACAACACAAAACAAATTTTAAAAAATCAAATCCAGCTGGTTCACACACATTCACTCACCTGCGGATGAAGCCCCCACTGATGGCCATCTGTTCACGCTCGTCCACCACTCGGGCACCGGGCTGACTGTTCACCACTCCGTCCTGGTTTCCGCCCCAGGCCTGGCCTCCACCCTTGATCCTAACACACACACACACATACACACTTCAGACCGGGCAGTGGAGCCGTTGTCGTCTGTGTTCAACTTACACATGTACTGGTTTAATGTACGTATATATGTGTGTACAATGTATATGTATTGTTTGACAAAAACCTGGCAAAGACGAGGTTCACTTTATGAACATATATATACTGTATATATATATGTGTGTGTACAAGTACACGCTCTGACATGTTTACTGTAGTGAAGCAACATATCAGAGTCCAATCAGAGCAAATCTATGCATGAAAAAAAATTGATCTAACATGCAGATCAATTTACTTTTATGACATTAAAGGGATATTTCAGGGGTTTTTATTTTTTAAGGTGGTCCTAGAATGTAATGACACAAAGTCAGGGCCACAAACGAGCCCAGAGAGAATTACTCTCTTTTTTCTTCACAGTCACAGGTTTATCAAATGTTTTTTTTTTATTTAATTCCTTAGGTCAAATAACCAAAATTGAATTCAATGGCTTAAAGCTGCTCATTAAATTTATTTTCTTTTTTTCTTGTTTTTTTTGTGACTAAGTGTCAGTACTTTATTCAAGAAAACATTTCCTGAAATATCCCAAACTTTTCACGTGATTGTGTAGAAACAGTAATCATCTTAGCAGACAAACACATTTACTGTACACACAAAACTATATATACAATACACACACACACACACACACACACAAAGGGTCTGTGTATAACGACGGTAGGACAGTGTTTGACACAACAGGGAGAAACAGGCAGACAGGAAGAGGAGCAGACAGTTGGTGAAGGATCAGTTAGAAAAAGCAGTTAGAAAAGAGTTCCATCAAAACAACATCAATGACATTAACTTTTCACGTGCGAGAGTGAAAGTTAAGAGGCGGGACGAGCAGTAAACAGTGACAGTAATCAGCCCTTCATTTCTAACGTGTCGGTTTTAGCTTTTGGTTTGGACTTTCTTCTTGGACTCCTCGGCCTGAGGAGCTGCAGGTGTTTCTCTCTGCTACAGTGTTTGAGACCAAGCTGTCATATAAAGACTCTCCGTCAGGTGAAATACATGACGTAAACCACAGGATTACATCATGAGAGGGAGGAGGAGCAGAGAGCTATAGAAGACAGAAGGCCTGGACAGTACTGACAGGTAGGAACATTTAAATCAAAGGCCTGGACAGTACTGACAGGTAGGACATTTAAATCAAATGTTTGTTTGTTGTTGTTGTTTGTTGAGTAACAGAAGAGTTTGAATGCCAAGATAAAACTGATTTCGTCAGCCTTTTGTGTTTTTTTATAGCTCTCCATAGACAGTGCAGGGTTTGGACCAGTCCCAGGTGACACTGTGGCCAAACATGACTCAGTGGCCATGTTGTAGCTGTGAAGAAGAATCTGAAATCAGATCACACACAAGTCTGGCACAGACAGCGTCTGAATCCATCTATTTTAAGAAACAGTGATTAAAAAAAATTAGGTTAAAAAAAAAAACAGAAAGAAGAATTTTCTTTTCAAAACAAAAACTTCGCCTCACTCATGTGTGATACGGTCCAGAGGAAGGAGAGGACAGTTTGGCATTTTTCTAATTTAACTAATCTTATTAATCCAACATATGGAGAATATGAAAGTCTATTCTTCTGCTGCTGATTTTCACAGCATTAATCGTGCGATATTTACTTGATACTTGAAATTTCTTTCTACATATTGAACTTATATTTTGACAGATTTTAAGTGCTGTAAACTGCCCATACATTTGTCTTAACAGAAATACTTATCATTTACTTGTTATGAAGCCAATATATTTCAACCAAAAGTATAACAGTGCTCTGCTGGTTTTAGAAGAAACTCCATATACATGAAAGTCAATGAAAAAACCAGGCTGTTTGTTTAGAGTTTATACCTTTTACTTCTGGTTTCACATCTGGGTTTTAAACTAACAGAACAATACGGTGTTTAAAAGAAACAAATGACAAAAGTCTATTGATGTGAAACCTGTGACCGTCAGGCAGACTTTTATACATTAATCCTGATCTCGATCTAAAAAGCCAGTGTTTTTCATTGACTTACATTCACAAAACGTCATTCAAAAACCAACAAACTGATTTCCCCAGAGACCAGGCCTGGAATTGCAGAGTGATTATTTTTATTCTAAATTTGTGAAACACTTGTCAGTTTCCTTAAAATCACAGGCTACAGCTGTAAAATTAGTAATTTTTATATTCATCTGTCAGATTCTTGACCTCCTGGCTGTACTTTGTTAATGTAGAATCCAGAAAATATTTTATAAATGAAGTGTTAGATCTTGAAAACCTCAGTGAAACGACTTTCTTTTTCTTCTTCTGTAAATATGACAGGACAATGGTGGCTGTAAAAGACTGTGTACACACAGCATGATGCTCCACGCTGTGTTTGGGTTTGGGGGTGACATGACAGCGGCCGTGACCAGATCCCTGCTGGGACAGAACCTCTGCTCTAATGTGGAATGAAGGGCTTGTGGAGATTAGAATCACTGAGGCTGAGCATTTAACGGCGACACTGGACCGGCCATGCATGCCCCGTGTGGCGTTCATGCATAATTGTTTTTTTTTTTTTTTAACTCGACACGTGCATGCAGTGCTCATGCACGCTGCGGCCTCTCTTACTCAGCAGAAACAGACAGAAACACAGAGAGGCGGCCACGGACACACAGGCAGCGCGGCGACACAGGCAGCACCTACTTGTTACAGGGACATGAACACAGACCACAGAACTGTCCTAGATTGTTCAAATTCTTTTCTGCATCCATCATGTCCTTATTGATCTGGTCCATCCCCTCCTCGATGCGCTCCAGTTGTTCTGTTTACCAACAAAATGTAAAAAATTTTTTTTTTTTCCCAGAGCAAATGTATGTACGAGAGGCCATGAGAAAAAAAAAAAAAGAAAATGAGGGGGGAGATTGGGGGAGGAAGAGGGAGAGAGGTGGAGAAGAGAGGGGAAAACAAAGGAGAAAGAGGGAGAGAGGTGGAGAAGAGAGGGGGAAACAAAGGAGACAAAAAAAAAGACATATACTGTGACAAGAGAGAGACATCGGACATCAGACATCACCACCACCACCACCACTAGCACTGGACAGGCAGGAGCATGAGGCTCCTGTCTGGTACCTACTTTTTAATACATGGGCATATCAGACCACAGCATTGTCCTAAATCTTTTAAATCTTTCTCGGCCTCCTTCAGGTCTGCGTTCACCTTGTTCATGCCCTCCTCCACGCGATCAAGTTGTTCTGGTAGGGACAAAGGCATGAGAGCAGTAAAATAAAGTTGACTGGTTGATTGTTTCCTAGGGTGAGCTCTCTACGCTAGGTTGGAGTAGCCTGTTAGCGAGATGCAGTAGGCGGAAGGCAGAGCGGGCAACAAGCTTTAAGATGAACTAAATAAGGGTGGGATGTATTCACATGGTTTTTGTTCGAGTGATTAAAAAAAATCCTATTGTCAGTTTTAAAAAAAGATATTAGAGTGAACTGAACTCAGTTAGCACAAATGCTAACTGAGATTAGGAACCAAACCACAGGGAAGACGAGTCAGTTAATCATCACTGAACTCTCTCATTTACTTCCTATTGTCAGTTTTGGCTCGGGGGCCAATTGTGGCCAATGGCCAATATCAACTCTAATAATAAACCTATAAATGTATCTGTGTCTCTGTGATAGTTTGGTTTCCCGTAAATTGTCGATAATTTATCGCGAACCAAACCGTAATCAATGGTCCGGTCGTGACATCAATGTAATGGAAAGCATCACTCAGACACACGAGGTCGCGCTCACGTCGTTCGTCAGGTGGTGAAGAGGACGCGCAGCCGTAAAGCAGCTGCACTTCGAGGTCACTTCCTCTCTACTTGACTTTTTAATGCTCGTAGGACGGCGGAGCAATTATTTCCATCAGCGGTGAGCACCACTTGGCCTTCCAGGAGATCTGGCGAGTCACAGTGAAGTGAAGAGGAAGAGGAAGGCGGAGGTGGAGAGCTGGTTCACGTGGAGCAGGACGGTGCAACGACAAAGAGCTTAATCAGCGTCACAGAAAACTTAACTCTCCGTGAAATAATTACAATCAGCTCAGTTTGTGTTACACCTGCTGGTTCATATGCACTGGTGCAACCATATGATATTTCTGTCTTTGTAGCAGTTGAGCGCGTTTAATAAACCTCACCTGATTCCAACCACAACAAACGGACGGAGAAAACAAAAAGCCAAGAAAAATCCGAGTCGTTTTAAAGCTGGATGACTGTCAGTGACATCACTGAACAACGTGAACTGTCCCTTTACCTCCTGAAGGTCACAGTAAATTACCACGCTACAGATGCTAGCATGTCGTGCATTTTAAAAGAACTGGATTTTCAGTCCAAGACTCTGCAATGACATCCATAATATTCTGTTGGATTAAATTCATTCATCAAAAAAAAAAAAAAAAAACACAGAGGGATATTTGAAGAAATATTCTGTTTTATGTTTTTTTTTTAAATAATTTTTTTTTTGACGTAAACTCGTAACTGTACAACCAGCAGGAGCCTCCACTGATCCAGTGTTTCTTGCTGTGGGCTAACTCGCTACATGTGCAAGAACTCAGTGAGGCGCTGACGCCATCCATCAGCTCTGACCGAGGTGTAATTTGGGTCAATGTTCATGTAACAGCTGAGCAGGGAGCGACTCATTAGCAGCTGTGAGGCCTCCGCTGCAGGTAATACATCACTGGGCGACAAACCTCCTACTGTATGACCTATGTGAGTGTGTGAGTGTGTGTGTGTAAAAGGCCAGCCATACACTGACGTTTACAGCTTGACAAGACCTAATTAATTACCCCTAGCATAGGAAGCTATTACCCCGTTTCTATTGCAATACGAGAGGAAATTGTTGTCGTAAATATCAAGGAGTGTATTAAATGTCAGGGGCAGAATAATGTACACATGTGTGTTGAACTCCGGGGAGGCGGTAGATGGAAGAAAAAAGAAATTAAAAAGAGAAAGAGCATTTTTGAAAAAGGTTACAAAATGTAGCCCCAGAGCTGGGACGTAAAGAGATGTTTGGTGGTTAAAAAGGAAAGACGGGGGGGAGCAGGTAGAGATGGCGTTAAGTGAGAGGAAGCGGTGATTGAACTGGCGTTCCGTGTTAACGGCACTGAGCACGTGCACCGTGGAAGCCGTAATTCCAGGGAGAAGAGGAGCTCTGCTATCTGTTTCTGTGACAGGCCAATTAGCCTGCTCCTCCACGCATGCTACCAAGAACAGGACTTCGTTAAATAACACACACACACATACACCCACACACACGTAAGTCCTGTGTTACGGCGTGTCATTGAACACTTGGTTACTGTGATTTAAACATTCAATCTTAGGAAATTCTCAATGACGGCAAAGACGTTAGCAATAAAATAATGTGACGCTAAGGAAGAAACCGTGGTGTAGAACTGAACTGTTACCTCACCACGTCACTGTTAATATAATTTCATATATTTTTTCCTTGAACTGTTACCTCACCACGTCACTGTTTAATATTTAACGTTTAATATAATTTCATATTTTTTCCCTAGTTTTATTCATGTCCTCTAATTTCATTCGTATGAAGACACAGAAATATTTGTTTATTTTATTATTTAGCCTGTGTTTATGGTAAGACAAGTATTTTTTCTGTTTATTGCTTAGGCATTTTAGTCATTTTGTCGGGCTATAAATTCTCAAACTCATTCGCTGAATTTTCTTTAACTGTCTTCAACTGCACTGACCTCATCATTTTGTTATTAACTTAGTGAAAAAAAAAAGCTTTTTCGAGATACTAATTTCCTCTTTGTGAAGCTCCAGACTGCGTATAAAAGCAGCAGCTGCAGAGACAGTGTTCAGGGAACTGTCGTCCTCCTACTCACCTCCCTGCTCGTCCAACATGACAAGGGTCCTGATGCCAGCATCCTTACTCTGAGAGGACGAGGAGACAGGGTGAGGGGAGAGGTGAGGGGGGAGAAAGAGGAGAAATAAATCAGTAAAGAACAACAGTGAAGACTCTGATACGACTGCAGAGATGGGTCAGATTACAGTGTGAATCACATTTCACACTGGTGTCTATTCTAGACTGGACACAGATCAAACCTTACATGAAACGTTTGACATTGTGACATAATAAACAGAATCTTACAACTGAAAATGATGAGAATGAAGAGCGCTGATTCCCAGGTCAGACTTGTTCAGTCAGGTCTATATTTGTTCTGGTTTGGCACCAGGACCAGGACCAGCTCCAGTAACGCTACATTCTGGTTTGGCTCGTGGAGCTGGCTCACTCTCAGAGTAAACAGACTTCTATTCACACTTATATTTCACTGCAAGAGCTCGCATCCCATAATAACACCGCACTCCAGTGAGCACACGATGAGCACCAAAGGCCCTGGTGTGTGAACTGCAGACCATCAGGTTGGTGCTCAGCCTCAGGCTCTTCAACGTGACATTAAAGTTCAAAGACTCTTCAGTTTCTGCTTCACTTGTTCTGAATGAGATCGTGACCCGACTCTGCTGGAACACGGACAAAAGATTCTGGACTGAGAGCAACGACGACAGACGACGACAGATACAGCGTTGATCTGTGTGAGTATGAATTTTACGATCAAGTCAGGGGGAAAAATGTTGTTCAGACCAGTGTTTCCCAAACACCAATGTTTTAAAAGTTTAGTCACAAACCTTCGCGACTCAAGTCAATAGACATTAATCGTAAACTCCTGAGAAACATGATGCGAGACGACCCCCCCAAAAATAAAATCTCTTGCGACCCACCTGAGGGCCGCGACCCAGTCTTTGGGAAACAATGGTTTAGATGAGCTTGAAGGTAAAATGTGACGTACGTCTGTGCAAAGAAACCCGATTGTTGAGAGATGTTTGTTTACCCGTCAGGAATCATGGGAAAACAAAATAAGCCAATGACATCATTTATTAATTCTCCATAAACACACACACGCACACACCAATTCATTACCACTAACAGTGTTCTTGAATGGAAAGTGTGTGTGTGTCAGAACAGAAGGGTTAACATGCAACAAAGAGGGCAACAGAAAGGGCAACGTTGACATTTAGACCTCAG